AGGCCCCCAAGAGGCCCCCAAGAGGCGCCCAAGGGGCGTCCCAAGAGGGCCCCAAGAGGGCAAAATCATTGATTTGCCTTAGGTTTTAGCCTATACGGATTTTCGGCTTGCACGGCGTTGGCGACGGCCCAAGAGGCCCCCCAAACCGCCCCAAGACGGTCCAAGAGGCCCCCAAGAGGCCCGCAAAACGGCCCAAGAGGGCCCCAAGACGGCCCCAAGAGGCGCCCAAGGCGGCCGAAGAGAGCCCCAAGACGGCCCCAAGAGGGGACCACGAACCGAAAAGTCTAGCCTTTCGCCCCAAGACGCTCCCAGGAGGCCCCATTGCCAAGAGCCCCCCAAGAAGCCCCAAGAGGCTCCCAAGAGGCGTCCGTCCCAAGAGGCCACCAGGAGGCCAAAACCATTGATTTCCTATTGGAAAAGGTACATTCTTAGCATACAAGGCTTTTCGGCTTTCACGGCGTTGAAGACGGCTCAAGAGGCCCCCAAGACCGCCCCAAGACGGCCCAAGAGGCTCCCAAGAGGCCCCCAAAAGGGCCCAAGAGGGCCCCAAGACGGCCCAAGAGGCGCCCAAGACGGCCCAAGAGGGCCCCAAGAGGGGGACCACGAACCGAAAAGTCTAGCCTTTCGCCCCAAGAAGCTCCCAGGAGGCCCCAAGAACCCCCCAAGAATCCCCAAGAGGCCCCCAAGAGACCCCCAAGAGGCCCTCAAAAGGGCTCCAAAAGAGCCGCAATAGGACTCTCCCAAGAAGGCCCAGAGACGCCAAATAAAGAGCGATCGGTAACGCAAAAAGCTCTTCACGCCAAGGCTCCCAAGAGCGAACGGTGACGTCAACAAGCTGATAAGACCAAGGCTCCCAGCAGAGAGCGGTGACGTAACAAGTTCCTGACACTAAGGCCCAGCCAAGGCTCAGGAGCGGGCGGCAACGCAACAATCTCTGAACACCAAGGCTCCCAAGAGCGAGGGGTGACGTAACCAGCTCTCAACGCCAGGGCCCCCAGTACGAACGGTGGTGCGAGAAATTTCGGTTCCTGTTTCTGAAGCGCTCTTCCCGTTTCTGTGCCGGGCCCAGGTCTCCAGGCGCGTTGTCGACGACGCCGTCGTCTTACTCGTCGCCATTGCCTCTGTCTTCGACTCCGCTGTCGCAGCAATATTCAGTACGTCGTCATCGTATTCGTTCTTCTCCGACTCCTCCTCCCTCTCTCATCCTGTTCTTCCACCTTTTCATATCCTTCTCGTCTCGTCCTCGAATCCACCTCCTGCTCCTCCTCCTCCTCCTCCTTCTCCGCTTTCTCCTGCCAACCACCCTCCCCCTCCTTCTGCTCCCTCCTTCGGGCCTCTTCCTTATCCGGTCTCCTCCTGCTCACCTTGCCAGCCAACCCTTCTTGCTCCGCACTCTCCCCTCCTCGCCCTCTACTCCTGCCGGCTGCGGCAGCAGGAAGCCGAGGAGACCGATCCCGCAGAGGGGGACGACCTCTTTTCCCACGGGGGTCCCGTCGTTGGCCCGTGGGTGGCCTGTCAAAGCCATCCGCGGTGACGAAAAGGTCCTCGTCGATGGGCCCCCCTAGGTTTTCTAACCGGCTTGAAGTCGGGCCTGTCCCCCTACAGGGGGAATTTCCAAAAATGATTTCTATACTTGTAGGAGGACATGCCCGACCTAAAGCCAGCTCTCGCTCTCTCTCTCTCTCTCTCTCTGTCTCTCTGCCCCCCAGCGCGTGCAATCCTCACTGTTCCCCTTCCCGCGCCCCGAGCTCGGGCGCCCCTGCGAGTGGAGGGGGCGCGCCAAAACGCAGGCGTCGGTGACGTCGGAGGTCCAGGGCACCTCGGCCTCGACAAGCGGAGCGTCTGAGCACGGTGCCTCCAGCGCCCAGGTCTCTTCCAATCCGCGGGGCGCTGGATCTGTCGATAAGGCGAAGCCAGGACGAGGATAACTTCGGGGAAAATAAATCGAGATTCTCCGAGATCCGGCGGTTCTGAGGGATGTCTCGGGCGCCGCGGCCTTCTCAAAGCGTTCCGGAACGCTCTGAGAGCGTCCCGGAACGCTCTGGAACGGATTTATCCTCATCCTTGCCCCGTCCGACTCGACCCCGATTCTCGGGTCGGACGAGGGGGGAGGGGTGAAGGGGATGTTAGCGAATCAGCTCACGTAGCTGGTTTTCCTGGCGCTTCCTGGCGCTGGAGACGCGAATGTATGGAGGAAAGCGCCCGACGGCAGGGCCGAAAACAGCTGCACGCAGCAGATCTCGCCCCCCCTTCAGCCAAGCTGGCCCTCACGGCCCGGAAACAAGCGAAAACGCCCAGAACAAAATACATCGCAACGTTAAGGCTAAATCAGAATCAATCCCTGGACCCGTCCCGAAAGCCAGCTGGGACCAACTCTTGGTCCTGAGACATTTTCTTGTCTTCGCTCCGACGTCCATGTCCCGTGTATGTTTCAGTTGCGCACGTGTTTTTTCATTGCTCAATGAGCAAAAATGATCGTCGATGGTCCTTGCCGAGAAAACATGCACACGTCCGAACTATGCCGAATTTTCTGACTGTCCCAGGGCCAGGAAACGGCCTCTCTGGATGTCAAACAAAGGACAACATAAATTGCCAGCCCTATTTGTTCGTTGCGCCACCAGGGCAGGATCTGAAGGTTCGCTCGAACAGCAACCTGGGCATCCGATGATGTGGCATCCAATCCGAGGGACCCAAAAGATCCGTGTTTGAAATTTCTGGGCCCGAAGCGGCCCCTCAACGTTAATTTTTCGGAGAAAAAACGGTTCCCTCGCAGCGCGGCAGAAGCAAAATACACGCGCGCTCGAGTGGACTGTGATAGGACACGACAAAACACACATACACACAGACACACACACACAAGCACACACACACACAAACACACACGCGCACGCACGCACGCACGCGCGCACGCACGCACGCACGCACGCACGCACACACTCACGCACGCACGCACGCACGCAGATTCTCTCTCTCTCTCTCTCTCTCTCTCTCTCTCTCTCTCGCACACCCAACGCAAACGCACACGTACAGGCACACGCACACGCACCCACACATGCACGCGCACACGCACACACGCACACGCACGCACGCACGCACACACACACAGCCACACACACACACACACTTGTTTGGTCTGCGGGGCGAAAGCGAACCTCTTCCGGTAAAAGCTAGGCGGGCTACGCACAGCTCTTATTGGGGAGACAGGGCACAGGCGGGCGGGGCCTCAGGCGGCCAGAGGGCGGGCCGGGGTGCAGGCGGTGCCGAAGAGCTTGCACAGGAAAAGGGACGCCTTGGACAGGAGCCGGAGGCGAAGACCCGGAGGGTGAGCGGTGTGGTGTTGCCGTCGACGGCGCTCCGTAAACACCATCCTCAAGTGCTGCGAAAGAAGACGTTGTACGCGACCAGGTCGACGTCCAGGGGGAGAAGTCCACCATGAAGTCGATGAGCAACGTTGTGCCACCCGATGGTGAGGAGGGGTCCCAGGAGAAAAGGAGGACCGCGCTGGCGATGTGCAGCGTTGTGCCACCGGGTGGTCGGAAGCGGCCTGGGGTGGTAGTCCAATCCACGTCCAGGGAGCAGCCAGCAAAAGGTGCGGCCAGAGACAGGGCCGTCCGTGTCCGACAGGATGTCGGTGGAGTGCAGGGAGGGAACCTGACACACACACACACACACACACACACAAGCACGCACGCGCACAAGCACACGCGCACACGCGCACACGCGCACACGCGCACACACAGACACACACAGACACACACACACACACGCAAACACACACACACAGACACACACACACACACACAGGCACACACAGACACACACAGACACACACAGACACACACAGGCAGACAGACAGACACAGACACACACACACACACACACACACACACACACACAAACACACACACACACACACACGGGACCGTAGCCATTTTGGCTCAAGCCTGCCTTGTGCAGGAGGTGCGCGGCGTGGTCTCTCCCTGTAGAGTCCCGTCGCCTCGGCGGGCACAGAGAGCGGCTCTGTCCCTTTCCCCTCCTTGTCGCGGCCCCTGCGATGGCGGCGGGGCCCGACGACGGCAAGGCAATGGATCTACGGTCCAACGGTGGCGCGGGGCTGGTCATGGCGATGGCCGTCCAGGGCGCTGCTCAGGGAGCTGCGGCGGGCGGCGCCTCGCGGCAGGCGATAGCCGCCGCGGTCGCTGCCGCGCTCCGCACGACATGGGCGCTGCTGGAGGGGATCGGCTCCGAGGAGGACGCCGAGCTCGCGATGCGCTGGCAGGCCATGGAGCCCGCCATGCGCCAGCAGCTGCGGGGCGCCCAGCCAGGCGGCGCCGCTCGCGCCAGGCGCAACGTCGGGGCGCACGTCGACCTCGGCAAGGGCGTCGAGGCCTTGCGGCAGGCCCTGGCGCAGCCGCAGCGGGCCCAGCGCGGCGGGCGCTGCGGGCCCCGCGTGCCGGCGCCGCCGGGCCCGGAGGCGGCGGAAGAGACGCCGGAGGACAACGCCGACGACGTCAAGCTGGAGGGCACCACCAGCCTGGACATCGGGGAGCCCGACGTGGACGAGTGCGAGGGCACCGACCAGGTCATCGACACCCCCGAGGGCCAGCTGCTGGGCGAGGTCCCGCCCTCCCCACTGCTCAGCGCGGTGGTTGGCGAGGACTCGGAGCTGGGCGTGGACGAGTGCGAGGGCACCGACCAGGTCGTGCACAGTGCCGATGTGCAGCCTGTTCCTGAGGCGCCGCGGGAAGTCGAGCCTGGGGGCCACGGCGGGGGCGGCCCCGAGGAGCAGCTGATGGAGACGGAGGTGCCGAGGGCGGCAGCAGGCGTGGTTGAGGACGAGGGCCTCTACGACGGCCAGGCCGACGGCACCCAGGTCAAGAGGCAGCGGGACCGCCAAGGAGTACAGCATCGGCACGCACCTGATGCTGGAGTTCACGATCGTGGGGCTCTTCTTGTTCCTCGCCCTGCGGGGGCGGATCTGCGCTCAGACCTGCCCGTCGACGGCGTCGATGGCATCGGCACGGAGTACGGCGGCACCTTGGAGGGCAAGATGGGTGAGAGCATCTTCAGCGACGCCGTTCAGGCTCGCGTGCGGAGCGTCTTCCTTTTCGTCCTCAGGGTGGCCTTGCTGATGGGCGTTGCCTCCTGCCCGTTCGTCTTCTTTGACTGGGGCACGGGCCTCGCGTGCGCCCCGCTCGTACTCGACATGGAGCCTATGCCCGACCCGTACCACGCGGCCCGCCAGGCCTTCCCGAGACAAGGTGAAGGCGAGTTCCTGGACCTGCCACTGCGGACATATGAGAAGGAGCAGCGGCTTGAGTCCCTGGTGAAGCTGCGGAGCGAGCTGGAGCACGAGCTGGCCACGGCTTCGCCTGGCAGGATAGCTCGTACCATGCTCGCGGAGGACATCTGGAGGCTCGCGGAGGACATTCGCGAGATCGAGGCGATGAGGCCTCACGGATTCGATTCTGGATAGCCCCGCGGTGGGCATCCTCACTCAGAGCAGCAAGAGTGCCAGCTGCGCGGATGGCCTCATGAGTGCTGGGCTGGCCGTTGCGCCTCTGCCTCGTCGGGGTGCGGGTTCCGCCTCTGAGTGTGGCCCCAGCGGTAGAGACAATGCCCCCCTTGGCGCGGTGTCCGCCGTGGCTGAGGGGCCTGAGGGGGCCCTCGGGGTGCCTGGGCCCGCATTCGCCGTTGGCGGGGCCTGGGCGCGGCGCGTGTTCTCGCTTTTCAGCCCCCCTTGGCAGCAGGCTGAGGGGCCTAGGGTGGGGCGCGGCCTCGAGGGGGCCCTGGCGCCTTTCACCCTGGGGAGCGCGCGGGGGCGCTGCCCGCGGCTCGGCTCTCTCGGGCTCGGCAGGCGACGGGACGTCGCTCGAGGGCCCAGCGCACGGGCCTGGCGAGGTGCAGACGCCCCAGGCCGCCGACGCACCAAAGCACCAAAACACACACACACGGGACTGAGCAACAACAAACAAATAATAGGAGACTTGGGGCACCCCCTTCTCCAGTTCCCTTCTGAGTCCGTGCGGCCACCGAATGGGCGACCGAACGCGTTGAGTTCTGACAGGGCTGTGTGAATTGAGCCCCCTCGTCCGCCGAATGGGCTCGATCTTGAGCGTGCTCGATGGCCAGATAGGCTCAGGCTCCGAATGGACTCAGAAGAGAACGATGGGGGTGTGGTTCCGTATTTCTTTTCGCAGCGCGGCTCTCCGAAGGTCTGTACACGTTTCGCACTTATCATCCTGAACTGCTTTTCGAAAGTCATCGGACCCAGCAAGGGCCCCCAGAAACAACAAAACCTCCCGTCGACTATTTTTTAGCAACGAGTGGAGGTCCGGGATCCCCCCCAGTGGACCACTGTTTGGGGTAGCTTCTCGCCACGGGCCCACTTTAGACATCAGCCCCGGGGCCCAAAAACGGCCCCTGGAGGGGGCAGGGGAGGGGGAGATGAGAGGATAGGGGGCTTGCTAAGGAGGGAAGGAGGGAGATGAGGGAAAGTGAAGGGAGGTGGGGGGCGGAAAGGAGGAGGGGGGAAGGAGGGGGGGGGGGAAGAGGGGGGGAGGAAGGGAGGGGGGGAGGGGGGAAGGGGAAGGAGGGGGGGAGGGAAGGAGAGAAAGGATGGGGGAAGGAGGGCAAGGGAAGGAAGAGGAGGGGACGAAAGGGAATTGAGGAGGGGGGAAGGAGGGAAAGGGGAGGAGAGAGAGAGAGAGAGAGAGAGCAAAGACTCTCGTCGGAAATCTGGGGATCCCACCCTGGTGGGTCTGCCCCTCCCCCCCCCCCCCCGCGGAACAAAAACATGCCTGGGCCCCTTGCCTCCGCAAACAGGGCCCTGCCGCCCCGCAGCAGCGAGAGGAGGAGGAGGAGGAAGGAGGAGGGAGAGAAGGAGGAGGAGGAGGAGGAGGGAGGAGGAGGAGGAGGAGGAGGAGGGCGAGGAGGAGGAGGAGGAGGAGGAGGAGGAGGAGGAGGAGGAGGAGGAGGAGGAGAACGAGGAGGGGGACGGCGGAGGGAGGAGAGACGGGCGGAGGAAGAGGAGGCGGAGGAGGAGGAGGAGGAGGAGGAGGAAGAGGAGGAGGAGGAGGAGGGAAGGAGGACGGCGGAGGGAGGAGAAGAGAAGGAGGAGGATTCTCCCCCAGGGCCGACTGGCCCTGGGGGGGAGGCTGCACCTGATTGGATCTCAAGCCATCAGGAACCAGGAACCAGGAGGAGGATTCTGTTGGGCATGAAAGCTGCAACATGAGTCACGCTTCTCCTGTGGCGTCATAGGCAGTGGGTCTTTTGATCTGAGAGCCGTGTGATGCCCCCTCCCGCCCCACCCCCCCTCGTCCCTGATTCCCTTCCCCGCGGGAGGGGGGCTCGGGTCTGAGGCGGGGGGGGGCTAACAAAAAGGGGCGAATCTGGTGATGCCACACCTGCCTGCAGGAGGGTACCACCGCGGGGTATAGCTGCGCGCAGGTGTGTACATGCATGTCCTGCACTATTTCTTCACAACATCTGTGCGCTAGATCCTGCATGCCGCCGCATTGTGCTCGAAGCTTCTGCGGTGGTAGGCTCGTGTCAGTCGGTCTGATGAACCCGGGATCAGGCACGCGACGCTCAACTGTGGACCGGACGGTCGCCGCGAGTTGTCCCGAAATGCCTTCATGAAGGTCCCCTTGTGATTATCGTCATATTCATGTCCACCCAGTCTCTCGATACACCTCACAGGCACTTTTGGACGCTGATCAGCCAAAAGAAGAAGAGTAAGGCGCAGGAGGAGGAAGGAGGAGAAGGAGGACGAGGAGGACGAGGAGGAGGAGAGAAACGGCAGACAGGACTGCGGAGGAGGAGGAGGACAAGGAGGAGGAGGAGGAGGAGGAGGAGGAGGACTGACCAGGAGGAAGAGGAGGAGGAGAACGGAGAAGAAAGGACGAAGAAAGACGAGGAGGAGGAGGAGGAGGAGGAGGAGGAAGAGGAGACGAAAGGACGGAAAAGGAGAAGGAAAAGGAGAAGGAGGAAGAGAAGCAGGAGGAAGAGAAGAAAGAGGAGAAGCAAGATGAGGAGGGCGGAGGAGGAGGAGGACGACGACGACGAGCAGCAGCAGGAGCAAGAGCAGGATAAGGGAGGAGGAGGAGGAGGATGAGGAGGAGGAGGAGGAGGGGGGAAGGAGAGGAGGAGGAGGAGGAGGAGGAGGAGGAATAGGAGAAGGAATAGGAGGGCGGAGGAGGAGGCACGAGGTGCACCACGGCCCCGCGGCGCGGCACGGCAGGGAGGCCTTTCCCCCGCAACAGGGCCCCGCCGGCCGCCGCCGCCGCCGCTGCGCGGCCAGCGCGGGGGCGCGCTGCCCGTCGCGCGGCTTGGGCGGGCCGGCGTCGGGCCAGGAGCCTGGCGGGGGCTCCTACGTCGGCGGCGAGCGAAGAGGACGAAGAGGAGGAGGAGGAAGAGGAGGAGGAGGACGGGGAGGAGGAAGAGGGAGGAGAAGGAGGAGGAGGAGAGAGGAGGAGGAGGAGAAAGAGGAGGAGGAGGAGGACAAGGAGGAGGTGGAGGAGGAGGAGGAGGAGGAGGGGGAGGAGGAGGAGAGGAGGAGGTCCAGGAGGGGAAGGGGAGGAGGAGGAGGAGGAAGAGGAGCATGGCTGAGGAGAAGGAGGAGGAGGACGAGGAGGAGGAGAGGAGGAGGAGGAGAGGAGGCGGAGGAGGAAAAGGAGGGAGGGACGGGGAGGGAGGAGGAGGAGAAGGAGGAGGAGGAGGAGAGGAGGAGGAGGAGGAGGAAGAGGAGGAAAAGGAGGAGGATGAGGAGCAGGAGGAGCAGGAGGAGCAGGAAGAGGAGGAGCAGGAGGAGGAGGAGAAGGCGGAGGAGAAAGAGCAGGAGAAACAGGATACGATACGACTCAGCCTGAATGGAGGTGTGACTTCCGCTGGATGATGGAACCTATCAAGCAAGTGGAAAAAGACAGCAGCGATGGCGGCAAGGCGGCAGGAGGAGCAGGACGAGGAGGAGGAGGGGGGAGGAGGAGGAGGAGGAGGGGGGGAGGAGGAGGGGGAGGAGGAGGAGCAGGAGGAAGAGGAGGAGGAGGAGGCGGAAGGGAGGAGGAGAAGAGAGGAGGAGGAGGAGGAGAGGAGGAGGAGGAGGAGGAGGAGGAGGAGGAGGAGGAGGAGGAGGAAGAGGAGGAGGAGAGGAGGAGGACGAAGAGGGCGGAGGAGGAGGAGGAGGAGGAGGGGAGAGGAGGAGGAGGAGGAGGCAGGAGGAGGAGGAGGAGGAGGAGGAGGAGGAGAGGAGGAGGAGGAGGAGGAGGAGGAGGAGGAGGAGGAGGAGGAGGAGGAGGAGGAGGAGGAAGAGGAGGAGGAGGAGGAAGAGGAGGAGGAGCAGGAGAAGCAGGAGGAGGAGGAGAAGCAGGAGGAGTCCACGTCGCCTGGGGGGAACGTGTCATGCAACCACTCTACATTCGATTGCCTGTATAAGACGGCGCGAGCCGAGATATGGAGCGGACCGTGCGAGATGGTGTCGGGGGGGCGAATCCAGCACGATCCTGAGAAGACTGGCAAGCGAGCAATGCCGAATGCCTGGCCTGGGTGGTAATGCTATATGTGCCGAAAAGGTGCGGTTGGCAGGCAAGCTCGGCACGCAAGTTATGGAAAATATGGAAGCTCAGAGCAGTCAACTCGTGAGCCCGCTGTCTCGAAATCTCAGCAGCGGCATCATCGTCATCCGATCCGAGGCCGAGTCGGACCACAGGATCAGGGGAAAGAAAGACGCGACCAGGGAGAGCAAGGAGGTGGAGCAAGCGGGGACAACAAAGATAGTGAGCGAGGGAGTCAGGGGCATGCTCGCAGCCAAATCTGCACGACAGCGGGGTCAGTATGTGGACGCGCCGCGAGGTGATCCACGCTCCAGCGAGAGTCTTCAGATGCGCCCAGACCCGCATGGGCGTGGACGAAATCAAAATGCGCTTCAAACCCAGCCACTGCACCCTCAGCTCGTCAACTCTAGGAAGGGCGCCAGGGTGGAGAGCCGAAGACAGACGACGGTGAAGGAGGTGGAGGTCGTCAGGGAAGGGGCGAGAGGTAAGCAGGGCGATGAGACGAGATTGTGGAGCAACCCTTTTGCCGCGCTGGTGGCGGGCCTGCTCCTGGCGAACTTTCGCCTCTGCCTCCGCAATCAGCTGGCGCTCCAGCCTGTGCGTCGGGGGCGAGGCGGTCGCGTGTCGCGGTCCGCGGCCGCTCCATCCTGCATACTGCTGCGCGATGCTGTGCTGTATGCGCCAACATGCTGCAGACCACATTCCTTTCACGACAGAAACGAGCGGCAGATGCTCGACGGCAGCATCGGCGCGACGTCCCAAGACCTCCTCCCACTCACCAGCTAGCGTCGTCGTCGCCATCCGCCACCCCGCCGCCGTCGTTGAGAGCAAGACAGATTGCGGCGCTCCCGGTCGGAGCCAGGTGCCTAAACTGAAAATCTCGCTGCGCTTAAAGGAGATGGGCGGGATGCGTAACAGCTTGTGGAGCGCCCGCGACTCTCTCCGAATACTGTGCTGCGAAACAGCGAGAAATTGCGCGAGATAACTGAGCGCAGAAACGCAACGGCTGTGGTAAGAGATGATGGAGGCTGCTGTCGGCGCTCTGCTCCCACCCGCATCCCGAGTCCGAACCCACCATTTCTGGCCAGCAGCCTCCCGAACATCCTCCAGGGTCGCACCTGGGCCCATCATTATGCCCGGGCATTTCGTAGCGGATTCTAGGGCAAACGAGGCCCAGGGCGGGATTTGATCCTGGAGGTAGGGGGCGATGGCCTGGCGCGCTGGAGGGTCCGCGAGCCCCCAGGGCGGGACGATGCAGCACTTTTTCGGTTGCAGAAGGAGGCTTGCAAGAGCAGCAGCAGCGCCAAAGGAGGGGGGGAGGGCGGAGGAGGCCGATCGATCGAAGTGCTGCCCCCGCATCGCCCGCGCAAGCTCCGAGGTCTCTGCTATTCCCTCCCGCGGCTTCAAGGCTGGAAACTGGATGACGCGCAATGGGGCCCATGCCAAGCGCCCAAAGAGTCCCCGATAGAGGGCAGCCTTGGGGGGGCCCAGAGCGGAGGGCGAAAAACTCTCGAACGTCCGAGCCGACGCGCATGCAACCGATCGATTCGTGCATTAGACCCGTGATGGCTGAACGGAACGCGGCAGGGATGCGAAACCAGCGCAAAACCTTGCCGAGCCAGATCTGGCTCATGATGGGGAGAGCTGCTTTGACATCAAAGCTGACGAAGAGGGCCTGCGCTGCTCAACGTCTTCCCCATATGCTCGCGCCCCGCGCCAGCGAGTCCAATCGAACGATGTGTCTGGCAAAGTTTTGGCTGCACGGGATGGGCGTGCTCTTCGGCAACGCGCTTGAGCTGACGATTGATACATGTGACCATGGCCTTGGCATCGCAATTCTTCAAGCTGAGTGGTCATAGCTGGCCAGGCTGGCGAGTGCAATCTACGGGGTCGAGGTCCTCCTCGCCCTTAGGAATGAAAGCGAACATGCTGTGGCTGAGGGCGGGGGGGGGGGGCGAGAAAGAGCGAGAGGAGAAGAGTAGAGGACAATCGCAAGAGACGGGTGCGCACGCCAGGCTTTATATGGGGGCCGATCGGGGCCAGGAGACGAGGATTTGCCATGCTTCAGAGTCCTTCGGAGGTCCGCAGGAGAGGGGGGAGGCAGGTCAACAACCTCGGGGGGGGGGGGGGGGGGGAAGGTGGGCTTCGATGAAGGCGTCTTGTTGCGGGGCATCCTCAACTCTTTCTTGAAACACTGGCCCCCAATGGCCCCGAATGGCATCTGAGATGTGTTGACCGCCACGAAGCGCGATATCTCCGTGGCCCTCCTGGGCGCGTTGTATTCCCTGGAGAATGAGCCGACGTCCCTGGGGCTTCAACAAAAGCGCACGCTGAAAAAGGGCCTGCTTGGCCCGTCGAGCACTGCTCGTTTGCCCTTGGGACTCCCCATGATTACGAGCGCGGCCGAGGGTTCGCTCACTGCGGGCCTCGTTGAGCGCCAAGACCTCCGCCTCGAAGCCAGCTGTGCCCCGCAGCGAGACGGTCTCGCCGTCCAGGAGCAGGCGGGCCGCGCCAGCAGCAGTGCGCTCGAGCAGCCGCTTCCCCAGCCGGCGGTCCTGTCGCCAGACAGCGCGCGCAATTGCCCTCATCGCCATGCGCCTGGCCTCCGCGTCGCCAGAGGTGTTGTCGCCAATCGGCGTGCGCATCAGCTGGTTGCGCGCGCCCTCCGCAGCAGTGATCATCTGGCGCTTGACGCACTCCCACTTCTCCCGGTCAGACATGCTGCCAAGGTCGCAAGCACCCAAGCAGATCGCCAGCTGTTCCTTGTAGCTGCCGGCACCAAAGATGAAGGCAGGGATGTCCTGGTGGGCCTTCGGGGGTTCAATGCGCGGCTCGATCTTGAGCTCCACAATGGCATGGTCACTGACTTTCCAGAGAGCCAGCTCCTGTGCATCATAACGCAAGTCCACAACAATCTGCATCACCTTTGCGAACTGTGGTGGCGTAGATATGAAAACTATGTCGATGTACGTCATCTGTTTCGTGTGACGGTCAAAGTGCGTGGGGGCTGGCGTGACTATGTCCGTCATCTTGTCAGAGGAGGAGATGAGCTGCCTCCAGAAGGGTTCAGCATGATTGGCTCGTCCAGCATCCGACGTCGGGCACCACTCGCCAGCGGGCGGAGGAGGCTCTCGCTCGGGTTGTCGCTGAAATTGAAGTCCCCCAACATCACGAATAGGTTGTGCGAGGGATTGGCGTGAGCCAATCTGCCATTCGCAATCCAACGCGTGCGTATCTGGCGTCGATCAGAGTCGTTCAGGTCGTAGTTGTGGATGTTGCAGATGCGGACCTCTGTCTGAAGCCTGGCGTTCTTGATGAGCAGGAGTTGGGCACGTCCTTTGGCGAGCACAAAATGAACCACCACTGGAAGAGCCTCTTGCTGGAGTCCCTCGGCGCCAGGGACGGGAAGCAGCGTGGCAACGCCACCAGCGCCCGTTACGCCTGCGCCACTGAAGTAGACCTTGTAGTTAAAGGGTGAGCGATTGATAAGATTCTGAAGTGTCATGCTATGGCCGTGTACTTCCTGCAAAACGATGACAGCCTTGTGCTTATCAGTTCAAAGACCTGGTAGACATTGGCGTTGTGGTGGGTTAGGTTACGGCACAGCAAGCCACGCGCATTCCACGAGACGGTGCGGCACGCGGAGACGTCGCCAGGCCGTAACCACGGGGCCCATCGGGGGCTAGGACGAAGACCAGGAGGACGTGTCAACCGCGTGGAAGATAGCTTTGAACTGGTCCGCGATGGCCGTGGTGTCCAGGTTGAGGTCGTTCTTAGCGGCGGGGCTCCCCGCAAGTTGAGACGGCT